CAACTTTAAGACTTGTGGACTTCAACTCCCAGAATTCCTCAGCCAGCAAAGCTGGCTGAGGAATTCTGGGAGTTGAAGTCCACAAGTCTTAAAGTTGCCAAGGTTGGACACCCCTGATTTAAAGTAATATGTCTCAAGATCTTTACCCATACAAAAATTAATTTATGGTATTTTAGTAACTGTTTCCATATGGAACTGTTTGGAACTTTGTCTCAGCATAACTCTCTTATCTGAGAACTACGTAAGGAGATTTGTTTGGAATTAGTGGAGATGAAATGTTAACTTTTGATTACCAATGCAGCTGATTTTATTAAGTCATGATTTTCAGATACCATCAGTGTCAAAGGCATTACCATACATTTGCAAATGTGCTAAATTACACTTCAAGCGAATAATTTCTTTTCTGAAATAAGCCTCTTTGAACTCAATGTGATTTTCTCTTAATATCGTTAGTTATTTGATGAGATTAGATCCGAACATGCCAATTTGACAATGAAAATTATTCCTTCCACCTAAAGAGCCAATTGAATCCAAGGAAGGCTGTCCATTTAAAGAAAATGATGGGGAAGCATGTTTTGCTAATTTGTTTTTTTACAGAATCATGTACTGTAATGGAACGGTACATTAGAGAACATCTAGTCCAGCCCCCTGCTTAGTGTAGATTCTGCTAAAGCTCTGTTCAGTTCCAGAAGTATTTTCCGTAGTGTTTTAGAGGTGAGAAAGTCTCCAGAGCAATATTTTAGTAGTCCGCTGAATTGCAAAGAATAAAAGAAAGCTACATCTTTTTCTTCTTGTTGTTGTGGAGTGATATGCAGTTAAGCACACATCCAGATCCCACCTATGTACAGTACTTACTGCTTTCTGATTTAAAGCTCACTGTGTTTTTCTTTAATTGATACTAAGAATAGGAAAGAAAATAAGGTTTCAACCATCATGATATAAATAATACAAAATGTGGAAAGAATTAAGCAAGTATTTTCCAGTTGTATGATTAACACGATTGCACAACTGGAATTCATGATACATATCCAGCAGGGCACACTTACTTAATTTGTCTAATTTAAATGTAAAACACGTGATTTAAATGAAAATTTGTTTTGGTATTTTCATTACCATGATTACCATGAATTATTATGTACTTTCAGTTCTCACCTGCCTTTTTGCATATCTTAGAATTGTTTTTAAAGCTTTTATTGAGATAGCTTTTATCAATATAGACATAGCACTTAGACTTATATACTGCTCCATAGTGCTTTACAGCACTTTCTAAGTGGTTAACAAGTATATTACCCCCAACTATCTGATTCTCATTTTACCGACTTCGGAAGCGTGGAAGGCTGAGCTATCCAGGATCAAACTGCTGGCTATGGACAGAGTTAGAATGCTTCATTCTAACCACTATGCTACCATGGCTCCTCAATACGGAAGTCACTTTTTTCTAGAATTCCCATATAATTTTCCTATATAGGAGTTTATGGAGAGAGGATGGCTGCCTAGAATTTCTCAAATGTATATTTAAAGATCTGTTGATTTGATAGAACCATTTGCACATTCTTGAGATCCCAGCTTGAGATCTGTTTCACATAGACTGTGAATAAAACTGGCTTCTCTTGTCAGAACTATCAGGCAACTCTCAAGGCAAGCATTTCAAAGGAGACCTCATAATCAAGACATGTTCCTCATCTTCCTACTTGTTGCAACTTCAGTTCTTCCAAGCATAAAAGAGGAATAGCTTAAAATTGTGCTTCTTTCTAAAAGTGATGCAAATTGATCCCAGATGATAGTGGAAATCAGAGACCTAAGAGAGGCATTGGAAAGTCAAGCTTCTTTGGTACAGGGGTGGAAGTAAATTTTTTGTAAAGTGTTTGATTAGGGATACATCCTTATTAAAACTTTGCAGCATTGGCCAGTGTCCCTCAGATACTGTAGTGTTGTGTTTGCTACTTATAGTATGTATGCACAGAGGTATTTCAATGGCACTATAAATTATGAGTGAGGAAATTGCCTCGTCAGCTAATCCCAAAATAATGCTGTCCAGTAAAGGTATTGCACAATAAGCAAGAATGTTATAGGCATCATTGTATGAAAGACACAAATCACATTGCTGGCATCACATTGCTGGCATCATATTGCTGGCATCACATTGCTGGCATTAACTGCACACTGATATCATGATACATCTGATGTCATTGCCCTGTCTTGCGAATGCCCATGTCTTATAGAGGTGTAAAATAACAGTTCCGAGTATCCCTTGGTATTTTCAGGAATATTATGCCAAGAAAGGCTGTACTAGGTTTTAAAAGCCAGTATATATAAGTACTATGAGCAGCATTTGATGTAAAAAATTACAAAACTGTGTCTATGTCTAAAAATATAGCCTTCCAATTTTCTTTTAAGATTTCGTAGGGATTCTATGTGGCTAAATTGGCATATATTAGAGTTAATGAGGTACTAACATAATTTCCTTCTTAGAGGTACTATTTCATAGAAAATCATGGTTGAATGCAACATATTCAAAGAATTATACTAACCTGTGAAGTATCTGTAGATGGGTTAACTTCCTTACCACACACAGCAGAATTTGTATTTGCAGAAGCTGCTTCTGAAGCCTCTGTCTTCTTGACATTCACTTCTAGGGGCCCTACCTGCCTACTTTCGGTCAATGGAGCTGGATTTGAATTGCTTGCTTGTCGTGGTGATGCTTTGTACCAACTAGGGTAGAATAAGGGATCAGATGGCTCTCCATTTGACTGTAGTCCAGTCTCTACTAGTTCTGCAGGCTGTGCTGTAGTAGTATGTACAATTTCATCCTTAGTAGGAAAGATTAAAAAAAAGAAAAAAAAAGAATGCAAATTATTGGAGGTGTTTTTTTGTCCACCATCTCTTCTCATCTTACTCTCTGAAAGGGCAGCATCATGAAAACTTATATTTTAGTTTTCTTTACTTGATATTCTAAACTATGTTTATTTATTACTGAAAAGTGCAGCAGATCTTAGGGCTTTTCCATACTTATCCCCAACCATAACAGAACACATCACACGACACAAACATGTCCTGGCAACATCTTTTTCTATTGTCTTCCCATGAAGTTTGCTTCATGTTGGTCCTATCCATGAGTACTTTCTGCCTTATTCCAACACCACACAAGGGCAGCCTCCAGAGTGTAAAATTTGTGACCAGGGAAATATTTTGGATTTATAATTATATGGTTGTTATTGACAATATACAATATCTTATAAAATTAACTGAATAATATATTATGAAGATTGGTTCTTTAGAATATTAAGTGTTAGTATTTTAGGATATTTTAAGTACTGGTATGATTATTTAAACTTAGATATTGTTGTATAGTTATCTCTATTGTTGTATTATTATCTCTACTGAAAAAGTTGGAGGTCACTAGTGTTATATATTTATTTGATAGGGGTTTTTTAGTCACTTTTTAACTTGTCCTGTTATCCTCTCTCTATTTTTTCTTTTATGTTAGTTTGTATTTTAATGTTTGGTTTTGAAATTTAATAAAGACATTTTTTTAAATAAAAAAGTAAAATCTGCTAGCTATCACTTCCCATTACATTCAAGGAATGCAGGTGACTTCAGTGATTTGAAACAGAAGAAATAGAGACAGCACAGCAATCGAAAACGGGAACAGTCAAGGTCAAGCCAGTATAATATTCTGCCAATTCAAGGATGAGGGATTACACTTTTAACTCAGCAGTGGGGAATTAAAGTTCATGCTAAGGAAACGATAAATTCAGCTTGGTAGTTGTTTGTTAAATACACCATCTGCAGCCAAAGTAAAAAGAAACACTTAGGTTGTGAATCTTTTTGTTAAATTCTGAATTCTACTAGTTGTTTTATTAATTATTATTATGTTAGTTTTATTGTACATAATGTTACTTTTTAAATCCTCTTTTGGTTTTTATTTGTTCTAGGCAATAGGTTATTTTAAGATGACATTAACAGGAATTATAGTTTTAAAAGTATTGTATCAGAAGAGGTAGGCTAGGTGAGGTTTATTTTCTATTGCTATTGGATTTTTTTAGTATGCTCTAAGTAAAAGTTTAAGAGCTGCATCCAACAAGGGCCTTCTGCAGAAAACCTTGCTCTAGATCAAGGGTGTCCAACCTTGGCAACTTTAAGACTTGTGGACTTCAACTCCCAGAATTCCTCAGCCAGCTTTGCTGGCTGAGGAATTCTGGGAGTTGAAGTCCACAACTCTTAAAGTTGCCAAGGTTGGACACCCCTGATCTAGATGAAGGGTCCAGTTTTCACTGATCTCTTTACCTACCACAACCTTCAGGGTAAGAATATGCTGATTAACAATTCCCAGATTTACTGGAGAGCAAGAAAATTCTAGCAGTTGTAGACCAACAAACTCAAATTACCAAAAAATGGGGAAGACTGACCTAATGAATTAGCATATTTAATTAATAAAGGGATTAACAAAGTGATAAAATATTTAACATAAGTGATATGAGAATATTTGTTACCTCTTTTGCTGTAGTAGGAGTATTAACTAGTGGGTTAGAAGGTAATGATGGTGCCAGACTACTCTGAGATACTGCTAGTGTGTCTTTTAATGCAATATCCTGTTGAAGTTGCTGAGTGGATGCTTGTTCAGATATTTCATCTTCTTCACCTGATGATTCAGTGTGGATTTCATCTGGTGTTTTCCCTTCTGTAGCATCTTCCTCCTCCTCCTCTTCTTCTATTGTTACATAAAAGAGAAAATACACTAACTGGTTTCCCCTAAAATAAAATTTGTTAATAGAGAATCTTTGATTCTAAAGGTTCTGGTTTCTGCTTTTCTAAGTAGGAATATTTGTCTCTGGCCTTATTAAAAGAATTGAATTGCGTCAAAAAAACACAGCCAGCACTCTGAGCAGAATAGTATTTTTGCCTCAGTTCCTGTTCATAGATGTTTCTCTCAACACATAATAAAATTAACAACTTGTTTTTCTGTGAAACCTTCCCAAAGGAGTTTGAGATTTCCTAGAATGGTTGGCACATTGTTTTTTTTAGAAGCAGAACTATTCATCTAATAATCAGAACAGAATAGGAGGAAGTAGCTTGTGTAGAGAGTAGACAAACTATCATAGCAGGCTTTTGACTTTCACTCCTGAGTCCTTTGATTTTTGTCACTGAGTTCTTTATTCCTAGGAAAAATGGGAAGTGCAGTTATAGTCAGGATATGGTCATTGGTCCATGGATAAATTATTAATCATTGCAATTGTATATTACTTAAAATAAAAAAGGTCTCCAGTGGAACAGTCTAAGAATACGTTAGACGTATGGAGTTGCCAAGGGTATCAAGAACATATGCTTACACAATTTGTGTATAAAAAAGGGAAGGGAAATGATTCCCCTTGCCATCAAACTTTCTGTGCTATAATCCCTCTTCCCAATCTGCCTCAAGTTTGTGCTGAAATATAGATATATATTACTTAACAGCAATATAAAGTAGCAATTAAAAAAGCTAAAGGATACCGTCCCACTTCTTTCCTTAAACTCTCAATTTTTATATAACAACTAGGCCTATCACATGATTTTGTACACTATTGGATCAAATATTTGAAATGAAATATTCTATGATGAATATGACAGATTATGATGCAAGTGATTATCTCAGGGCTATGTGGAAACGATTTGTTAGCATTCAGTACTTTTGTTTTTCTAGAAGGGTATTCTGAACTGACTTCATCATACTTTAAATACTGGGTCCAGCTTCACCTTTCTGGTGATAAACATCTCAGTAAACCCACAAAATACCAAATTCTGATAAATGATGGTTTATAAAGAAGTATTTGTGAACTTGAACTGATTTTGGTCTAACTAATATAAATGTGATTAAATACTGTTACCTTCCCATTGAAATGGTACCTGTTTATCTATTCACATTTGAATGCTTTCAAACTGCTAGGTTGGCAGGAGCTGAGGCAAGAACAGGAGCTCAACTTGTCACATAGCCTTGGGTCTCGAATTAAGCAGAGAGTCACACAAACACATTATTTTAGGGTGACATAGCATCACAGACTCCTAATTTAGCTTATTTTAATGGAAAAGTTGCCTTTCTATGTTGATTATATTTGTTCCAATTTTTTTTAAATAGTTGTTTACACTTTTGTTTCTTACTCTTCATTTACCACTACATTTATAAAAACAACAAGGTAAGAGTAGAGAATGAGAAGCTTTCAATTATCACTTTTTCAATAAGATTCCATGAACTTTGACTAACAACAAAATTGACATTCTTTCTTTACAATGGCTGTAAACACTGGATAAATACTACTGTTACTGTATACAAATTCATATACATGATCACAGATACACATGTGAACACACATAAATAACCTGTCAATATTTCTCAGTATAACTTTGGTGGTAATTAACATCTTTTGGGTACAAAAATACACAAAATCAAGCTTGATGACTACCTTTATTCAAGGAACTGTTCTATCATGAATCACTATTGGTAATCATTGCCAACGTTCTGCTAGTCATATAAACAGATCAGACAGAGGTTAATAGCTTTGATGTATCCTGAATGTTGGAATCTTGAAAGATTTACAACACTAATGCCAACACTCAGATTCTATGAAAAAACATATATTTCAGCATACTATCTTAGTCTTCATGAGTTTACTTTTGATTATTAGACATGTAAAATATATCTTTCACTTTTGTAGAATGTCAAAAAGGTCTTTCGATTATTTTTATGACAGGATGTCTTCACAAAAATTGAACACTTCACAGCTAAAAGGAAAATAAGCTTTTTAAGAAAGGGAAACCTACCTCTGTAAAAGTAAATTTCTCTAATTATCTTTTCTTCTCTGTTAAGATTGACTGTGAAGTGGGTCATATTTTCGTAGCCTTTCTCTATTTTTTCCATCTGAAATGCTTTAGAAGCTTCAGTAATTCTAAAATAGAAACACCATTGTGTCATCTGCATTATTTTGCAATGGAACTGTTTAAAAATTGTTCGTTTACAATGAAAATGGTAACATATCTTTACTTACTTTTGTAGCAATGTTTTAGCATTCTGTGAAAAACAAAATATATCAATAAAATACATTATTTAATAACTTGTTCCTTTTCTTTTCAGCATATACATTTAAAGTTAATTCATATATAAAATATTAGAATGCATTTTTTAACAAATAATAGCTGGAATTCTAACCATAACAAGATATTCCACCAAGATAATGCAATTACCCCTTTGGGGTAAACCAAACTAGAAAGTATATTTCGATCCAGAAAGATATTTTAACTGTTAATTTCTCTAGGCCAGGAGTCGCCAACCTTTTGGACCTCAGGGACCACCAAACTCATAATTTTAGATCGCAGGGACCACTAACCAGTTCTGTGGGCATGGCCTAATTTGTGGGTGTGGCTTGGTGGTCATGTGACTGGCTGGGCATGGCTTGTATGTAAATATTATAAATATTTATATAAATATTGAATTTTTTATAAAAAAGAGCAACTTTTACCCAAAACCAGGCAAAGCAGGCAGATTGAGTTCCTCACAGAATCATTTAGTGATCTATCTATCTGCCATCAGCTAGCTCAGTCTCTCAAATTTGCTTGTTGTGAGCCTGCACTGAATTTACGTGCAAGCAAACCTTCAGTCCTAAGGGAGGGTTTGGCTGTGCTGAGTCAAAGATCTAAAGACTAGCTAGAAAGCAAGAAATCTAACCATTTCCTGCTTCCTAGCTAATCTAAATCTCCTGGCACAGCAGAACAGATGATGGTTGGAAAAAGGAAAAATAGCAACTTAGCAAGCAAGTTTACTGGGTAAAGAATGAGTGAGTGGGGAGGGTTCCCACGGGCCATGTGGGCAGCGCAGCCTTGTGTTTCTGTGCAGCCTTGATTAATTGCTTTGTGGGGGTGCTCTGGGGGTGAGATTTCTCTGCGGCCCACCAAAATTTTCTCATGGCCCACCAGTGGGCCGCGGCCCACCGGTTGGCAACCACTGCTCTAGGCCACATTGGACAGCAAGAGACCTTCTTGATGTTGTTAAATTAAAACTTCCAGCATTACAGTTAGCATAGCCATAATAGATGCTAAGAGTTATAAGACATATATCTTGACAACATATAAACAATTACATGTTTCCCATCCTTGTTATACATGTACACATTTCTAAAATCATGCCTGTGATGATTATGATCTGCTATGGTTTGTCCTGTCTGCTACATCACAGCCTGAACATTTAGTTCAATACAGAACAGCAAATCAGTTTTTCCTTGGGTTAAGCAATAATGTAGGCCAATTAATATCACAAATTGCTTGTACCTATAATTCTTGCTTCTTTTGCACTATAGTTTAATGACTGAGATATGCATCAGTTATAAGCTGACAGCAATATAGAATTAGTGCATTTTCATATTCAATTTACCTGATGTACTTAACAGAATGAATTATCAAATTCTAACTTTCTGGTTTGGGAGAGCTCCCAGCTTAAAATAAAAATACATGCTCTAATATGACACACTGTGATTCCTTTGCAAAATCGGAAGGAACTTGAATATGATCTATCAAAATTCAAATTTAAACTTAATTTTTGGGGAAAAAATTGGGTCACTTTGACATAAAACATAATATAACCTAATTATTTCCCTATACAATATGTTGTATTACATTCCAAAGGTTTTTATTATCTTTATTTAATAACCCTAGAATAAATGTTGTTTCAAATGCATATCATTTATCACTTTGAAAAATTTATTTTCCTGTAAGTGATCATTTCATTTCTTCCGACTTTAAGAAAATCCCATAAATCCCATATGGGATGGGCAAAAATACAATGTTTAGATTGAATATGGAAAACTACTGTACAAGTAGATATTCTATAAAACTTACATTTGAGAAGTACCGTATTTATCGGCGTATAACACGCACAGGCGTATAACACGCATCTTCATTTTAAGAGGGAAATTTCAGGAAAGCGCCCGTTTCACCCCCACTCCCACCCCCCGCGCGCGCTTCAATCCACAGTGTCCCATTCTGCCTGCCTGCCTGCCTGCCTTAGTTTCTGGTTGTTTGGGAGCAGCTTCGGCTGAGAATAATAACTATTCGCCTCTTTTACTCAGCCGAAGCTGTTCCGATTCAACCATTAACGAAGGCAGGCAGGCAGGCAGAACGGAGCACTGCGGGCGGGCGGGCGGGCGG